TAATCGTCAATGTGTTGAATGTGGTCCTCAAGAGTCTGTTCGCCTACGAGTACAGCCAAACCCTCCAGACATTGGGTCTAACCATACGTCCAGTTCATGTCCAATGGTGTACGCAATCACTCAATCGCTTCTACTATATGATGAGCGCGTGTCGACCGAAGCTGATGGACAAGTGGTATACCGTCGGCACTGTTGTCACTTTGGCCGCCATTTTCCCGTCGGTATACCTCTTGTTGCAGACGCTCTACACTCTGGTTGTGGCCAACTATTTGCAAGACAGTCGATCGGTTGCCAGGGCTCAGGCCTTGTATCCGGTGGTATGTGTGCGGCTCTCTCATCCCTCTCTCCCGTTGATCATCACTTGTTAACCACTTTATTAATTATTGTCTTTTTTAACTGATCCCTGGCTACAGATACCCGGCATTAACCTCCCGTTGTCTGACTTTGGCTACTATTTCATATCTCTGGCCATTTGCAGTATATATCACGAGTCGGGACACGCTTTGGCGGCGCTCAGGTATGGTTTGATTTGATTCAATACAACAAACTTAATGTCTGGAACTAATTGTGTATCTGTTTTAATGGCCAGAGAGGGCGTACGTCTCCATAGTTTTGGTGTCTTCCTATTCGTGATAATTCCGGGCGCTTTCGTAAACCTGTCCACCGAACAGGTCCTCCATCTAAACGTCTGGAGCCAATTGAAGATCTTCACGGCCGGTGTCTGGCATAACATCAATTTGGTGGTGTCTTCCTATTCGTGATAATTCCGGGCGCTTTCGTAAACCTGTCCACCGAACAGGTCCTCCATCTAAACGTCTGGAGCCAATTGAAGATCTTCACGGCCGGTGTCTGGCATAACATCAATTTGGCGCTCTTTGCCATTGTTTTGTTGCTAATCAATCCGTTTGTGTTGAGCCCTCTCTATAGTCAACCGCCCGGTGTTGTCGTCGCCTACATTGAACCGGTACTCTCTCTCTCTCTCTCTCTCACTCACTCACTTTCATTCACACAAACACTCACTTATTTTAATCTAATTTTTAATTGTTTTGTTCATTTTGTGTGTCATCGGTGGTCAGCTGTCGGGCGCTTCGGGACCAAACGGCTTACGCACGGCTGACGTGATTGTGGGCGTCGATGACTGCGTGATTGTGGACATCACAAACTGGAAACAGTGCTTACTATCGATAGCCAACAATCCGCGCGACGGGTATTGCGTGGGCGCGGCGTTCATCGCCACCGAAAAGGCCAATAACGGCCAGTCAGTAATGGCCAACGGCGTCGGCAACGGTGGCGCCCATTGTTGTGATAAAAACAGTGAAAATAGTTTGTGTTTTATACGAAACAATTCAATGGACGACAGGGTGTGTCTACCGGTGCGGCAACTCTTGGACACGAGTCCCGCGACGTGTAACACATCGGCCGACTGTTCCCGCAATGAGAAGAGTGACAATTGCGTCAAACCGTTGGCCGACTATAATCACACGAAACTGATCCGTATCCGACGTCAGGGTCGGCCCAATGTGCTCTTCTGGGGCTCGCCCTCCGAGCTCTACCAGTCCATCGTTTTAGTCAAATACAAACCAAAGTTAACGTCTTTGCCTCTGCTTTACGTCTATTATTACGAAACACTTCTCAGGTTAGGGAAGCGTTTCAGTGATATATATCTCTCTTTGTAATGATTTCTACTCATTGGTTGCTTACGGAGTGATTTAATTGTTGTTTTAATTGTGTTTTTTGTTTCTAAATAGATATATAATCTCATTCTCGTTGGCTTTGGCGGTGTTTAATGTGATTCCGTGCGTCTATTTGGACGGCCAGTGGGTTATCAATGCGTTCATTGAATTATCTTTGAGTACAAGAGTTAATGATAGTGTGAAGAGATTGGTGTCCAGAGTGTTGGTCTCTTTGGGCACACTATTGCTGTCGAGTTGTGTTTTCATTGGTTTATACCAATTGTTGTTCACTTGACTTATGATATAGTATTCAAATCATTACAAATTCATTGTTTTAATTGTTTTCTATTGTATTAATTTCTAATCAAATTATTTAATTAATAAATTCATTGAATCAAAAGTTTTTACAGTAAATTAAATTCATTTCTTATGATTTCCAATTGGTTTACACATCAAATCAACGGACAGTAAAAACAAAACCATAAGTTTTTCACATTAATTACAATTGAATTAAATTGAATATATATTACAACTAAATATAAATAACATTATAAACGTAATTAAAAGTATTTAATCAAACTTTAAAACGTGATTAAAATACTTTTAACGCCACAATTAAAGCCCATATAAAGTGTCCATAAATAACGACATTTATTGTCACAAAATTGTAAACAAAAACGTTATTCAAAAATCAGTGCTAAAAATCTGATCACAAAAACAGACCGCAAATGTCTTCGCGACTACTCATTGGACGCCTCCTGAGGCCCGCCATCGCATCGCTGACCACCGCTGGCCGGCGGCCACTGCACTGCCCGACAGCTATTCAACGGTTCCCATCGTATGGACCGCCCAAAGAGCCAGTGGTTCCCAAAGACATCGAGTTTCGCGTTTTGAACTCATTGGCCAAACACGACAAGATTGACGCCAATTCGGTAACCAAACCAATTGCGGTGATCATCACCACAGCTGATCCAACCAATGATTGTCNGGTGATCATCACCACAGCTGATCCAACCAATGATTGTCTATCCCATCACAGCTGACGCTTAGCACTCATCTGACGCAAGACTTAGGCCTGGATTCGCTGGATATCGTCGAATTGGTGGTCGAGTTGGAGGACGAGTTCGCTCTGGAGATACCCGACGCGGACGCCGAGCGCCTGTTGACCGTCCAATCGCTGGTCGATTGGGTCGTACAGTATCTCGAGGCCAAAGGGCACTACAATCAGCGGCCGGGCATTGAGTTCTTGGAGGGCATGACTAGAGGTCGACCCATGAATTGATTGATGTTTTTTGAAGCCATGGATTGTATTGTAAAATCTGATGAATAAATTTAGTTGTGTTTATAGTTATAGTAATTGAAATACTATTGAGTGCTTTATTACGTCCACTTCGGCCACCAGTAGAGCCGCAGAACAGTTATACGACTGTCCGCTCGTCAGTGACAGCGCTGACCATCACTGGCGCCAAACTTCTGGCAGTGAAAGCAATTTAAGTGTTAATTATTACTAATAATTTATTAGTAAAACACAAGTTTACCGATTTGTCTCTGCATTTGATCCGTGGATGTGATGGACATAAAAGAGTTTGCATTTCATATAAAAAAGTTTATGGAAATAAGTTTTATACTTTATAATACATTGAAATCCATTGGTTCTCAATAACAGTCTTCTGGTCATCACTTGCGATGCAATGCATGTCCACTTTGGGTAGACATCAAAACACTGACACTTGATATCCGCTGTTTTCCATTCATTTCTTTGACCAGTGATTACTTGTCTTTCTTTTTGTGTCCAAAACCATGAAATCGTTGCCAATTTGTAAGAAAAGCCCAACACTTGATATCCCTTTCCAGTCGATTACAGAGCACTCGGTGTCTGTAATCCACAGGACTATGACTTCAAGTGTTGTACAACCTATGGATCCAATGATTAGTCCATCCTTTGCTTCTTAGGCCACAAACCATGGAATCGTTGCCAATCTGTAAGAAATCCTCAGCACCTGATATCCCTTTCCCGTCCATTACAGAGCACTCGGTGTCTGTAATACACGGGACGATGACTTCAAGTGCTGCACAACCAATGGATCCAATGATAAGTCCATCCTTTGCTTCTTAGGCTACAAACAATTCACTCGATGTCTATCTGTAACCAAAACCCCAACACTTGATATCCCTTTCCAGTCGATTACAGACTACTCGGTGTCTGTAATCCACAGGACTATGACTTCAAGTGCTGCACAACCTATGAATCCGATGATCAGTCCATTCATCCCTTCTTAGGCCACAAACTATGTAATCGCTGTCAATCTGTAACCAAAACCCCAGCACTTGTGTCCCTATTCCTCATCACTACAAGCGCTGAACGTCTGGACCATAACCTCAAGTGCTGTACAACCCATGAAAGCCTCCCCCAAGACATGCCCTCCCAGTCCTCACCCCTTAAAGACATGTCATTCCTCTTGCGATGGATTGCATCCAAACGTGTATTCCTTTCGCCGGTCTTTCAGATCATCTAAACATTGAATACAAGAAAATGATTAGTATTTGAGTCCAAAAAGTAGTTGTCATGAAATGCAAGCTCTTGTCTGTCCATCGCATCCACGGATCAAATCTCGGTTTCAAATGCAGACAATGTTTTGTGAGACAAATGTGTTGTTTTGAAAGTGAATTGATTTTTAAGTTTTAAACAATTGATTGAATTTTAAAAAAAAATTTTCCTTCGAAAACAATTTAAGCCAACAATTGATTTAAAAAAGCATAAAAATATATTTAAATGTATTTATGGATTAGTTTAGAGATAATACTTCATCTATGGATCAATTGGACTATAGTATTGTGGAGGAATATTTATCAAATGTGACCCTAACTCGTAAGTGCCATTCATTACTAGATTTAATTGTTTTAATTATGTTTAATTATGTTAATGTAATGCTAATTAATTATTAATAAAATAGACCATGGGCAGTTTTGTGCACATGTTATAATAGAATCTATTAAATAGATGATGAGTTTGTGTCATATAAAGCAGTGCTAAAGCTATGCGTGAAATGAAATGAGATTTAATTTTTGTCTATTTTTAATGCAAAACTGGTTTCAACTTTGACTTACAGAATGAATGCAAACTTTGCAATCAGTGATGCAATGATTGCATTGCAATTTGTAATGTCTTTGCTTTACACCTCTTTTTTGCCATCATTTCTATCATAAGTGCTATAATTTGTGTCCATTTCTTGTCTTTTAATCATAAGACTTATATTTTATTCAAAAATGTGTGAAATCTATTCCTCGGACTCTTTGGATCGATTCGGTGATGATTTGTGCGAAGAGTTG